AAGGTGAGGGTGTACAAATGAAAAAGAACTAATATATCCTAACATTCTTCTTGCAGCAACACTGGCTCTGTTTCCATAGCCTTGACAGCCTCTTCCTCCTCAGAACTCAGACCTAGGCCTTCTCTTATTTTTTCTATCCTCTCTCTAGGAAATATCTGTGTTTCCATGGCTTGTGATGTCATTGGTATGCTGATTACTCTTATATTTATATAACTCTAGTCCTCTCCTTGAGTACTACAGTCAAATCCAACTGTCTTTATGGCTACTCTTGGGTGTCTCAGATATTGCATTTCCAACCCATCTAAGTCTGTTAATAGTTATTTTTCTTAAGTTTTTAAAAAATTGATTTGAGAGAGAGAAAACAAAACAAAACATTGATTTGTTGTTCCACTTATTGATACATTCATTTGGTTGATTCTCGTAAGTGCCCTGTCTGGGGATCAAACCCACAATCTTGGTGTATTGGGACAATGCTCTAACCAACTGAGCTACCTGGCAAGGGTGCCATATAATAGTCCTCTCTCCCAGTGTCCAATTCATCAACAAGTCTCCTACAATTCCAATACTAAAATATATATTCCAAATCTGTCTATCCTTTCTCCTTGTCACCCTTGTCACAATATTACTCTACATTTCTCTCTTGTCCTCCTTCAATCCATTTTGGATTCAGCATCCAGAGGGCCCATCTTAAAATGTAGATTAGATCATGCTACTTCCTTGTTTCAACTTTCCAGTACCTTCCTCTCCTACCTCATCTCCTCCACACTTCTGCTTACTTTTTTCTAGCCACATTGGCTTTTCCATGTCCTCACAGAAGCAAAACTCTTTACTGACTCAGGGGTAACCCTTCCCTCACATGTTACTGCACCCACCTGGCCCGCATGTTTCAGAAGTTATCTCCTTCTCATCCTTCAGGGTGGCTTAAACGTTTCCTCTTCAGGAAGGCTTTCCCTAACCACCTTATCTGAAGTAAGTTCTCCCTCCTCTCACCATTCCCTATCTTAGCACCCAGCTTATTTCCTTCTTAGCATTATTTTTTATAAACAAACTCTAATTTTTCTGTTTATTTGTTTGGTTATGTTTTTTAGTCTCTCATACCAGACTGCAAGCTCCAAAAAGCAGGGATTATTATGCCCTATAACTGTCTCGACATTTATCTATACTAATAAAAGTCTATGTGGTCGTCACACCCTCACGCCATGATGCCCTCATGCCCTAACAATCCATCACCAGGAGGCTGTGTGCACAGCGGCGCACGCAGGTGGGTGGGGCTGCATGTGCAGCGAGTCACACACGGGTGGGCAGGGAGATGACGCTGTGTGCGCAGCGGGGAGGCAGGACCCCTGGCTCCGGCCTACCTCTTTGGGGCAGTCCATTGAGGAGCCCCAGATGGGTGGGGCCTACCTCTTTGGGGAGATTGATTGCGGGACTCCCACACTGTGAGAGGGCACAGGCCAGGCTGGGGAACACTCCCCCGCCCCCGAGTGCACAAATTTTGTGCACCGGGCCTCTAGTTTATAAAGAAAGAAAGAAAGAAAGAAAGAAAGAAAGAAAGAAAGAAAGAAAGAAAGAAAGAAAGGAAGAAAGGTAGGCTTGGGCAAAAATAGGTTTACAAAGAAAGAAAAGGAAGAAAGGTAGGCTTGGGCAAAAATAGGTTTACAGTTGTGAGTATGTGAAACAGAGAGTTTATTCTTGTATTATTATTTATTAATTATTTTATTATTTTCCACATGAACAACTGTAAACCTACTTTTACTCAACCCTGTATTATAACACCTTATTTCTATGTACCAGAGACTATGCTTAGCTCCATAAAAATAAAATTGCATTTAAATCTGCATAACAACCCTAAGAGGTAAGTATTATTATTATTATTTTACAAATGAGGAATCTGAGGCATAGAAAGGGTAAGCAATTCACCAAGAGTAAAATGTTTAAGAGGTGACAGAGTTGAGTTTCAAACCTAAATAATCTCATTCCAGAGCCAACATTTTTAACCACTATGAAATACCCACTGCCACATTCATCTCCAAAGATGAAATAATGGCTATATGAATTAATCAGTAAAGTGAAAGGACAGACATAGATTGTATCATAAGTCAGCCTGGAGAATTAAGAAAGGATAGTATTGAATCTGAGACCTGATTGACACATGGGAGGGAATGTGGGCCAAGCACAGTGAATCACACAGGCAGGAGACAGGGTGGGATGTTAGAGGGAAACAGGTAGTTCAGTTTATTTGGAATATAAAATGAGGAAAGGGAAGAAAGGAAATAAGATAGTAAGTCGAAATTGATGAGGCAAAATAGGAAAGGCTTATAGTCCACAGAAAGCAGTTTCAATTTTATCCTGTAGCATGAAGATTTAGGAATCCATTGAAGAAATGTAATCAGGATGGAGACACAATTAGGTTTGTAATTTAAAAAGATCCCTCTGGCAATGATGTAGAGCTATCTTTCTTAAAGGTAAGTACACTGCATTCTTTCAAGAGAAAAAATTTTCATGGATCCTCTCAGTGTTCAGATACTTTTTATTATGTTTTTTAAATGTGTACATATATTACAAGATATAAAAAAATCCTTATATATTGTCTAAACCAAACTACAAGCCAAATTAAATTTTAATTAACAATAATTTAATGTAATAATATTTTATTTAAAATTGCTACTCAGAGTGTAACTATTTTGATGCAAGTTCATTGGATTAAAGTAAAGAGAAAAGGAGAGCTAAGAAACATTGCCTGTGGATTTAAATTGGATCACCTTTAATGTCCTTCAAGAGTTATAGGTAAAGAAATTTCTTTTAAATTATATTTCATCTGTCAAGCTATATTTGGAAGAACTCTATTTCTAGAATGTGACATCTCAAATCAGACCTTGGAGATCATGCTGCAGTAGTTACAATCACAAGAATTTAAACTTTTAATATTTTTGTTTCTCTGTTAATCTTAAAATGTTTACTATAAAGGTAGCTTGAATCGTCTGTATGACTACTTCATAACAAAAGTCTACACACATTTGCCTTTGAGTTTATGATCCAATTATTAACTAACAATTATTTTGGATTGGTGTGAGAAAACAGGTGGGCTTAATGTATAAATGCTGTTTTCCAACATTTCCAGCTGGATGAAAGCTAACTGATCCATGGGGATCTGAAGGAAAGAAGATTGTTCAGTATCTCAAACAGAGGGAAAATTAAGAAAAGGCTGGATCAAATCTACCATTTATTAAGTGCTGACAATGTACCAGGTACTGTGATAAACATCTTACATCCTCTGTTATGTTTAATCTTTACAAAAACCCTATGAAGTTCATATTAATACCCATTTCTATAGATGAGGAAACTGAGGCTTAGAGAGATAGGGATGATAACTAGTAAATGACAGCCAAGACTGGGACCACTCAGCACTAACTTCAGGTCTATGCTCTAAATCAGTGGTCAGCAAATTCATTAGTCAACAGAGCCAAATATCAACAGTACAACGATTGAAATTTCTTTTGAGAGCCAAATTTTTTAAACTTAAACTATATAGGTAGGTACATTGTTATTAACTTGATTAGGGTACTCCTAAGGCTTAGGAAGAGCCACACTCGAGGGGCCAAAGAGCCGCATGTGGCTCGAGAGCCGCGGTTGGCCGACCACGGCTCTAAATGATTAGGCAATACTGCCTGAATGAAAAAGATTATACAGTATTAAGTACATTACCAAAAGGATATATCGCATTCTTAGTTTATAAGTCCAAAGTCATGTTGAATTATGGCAAGTAGATTCTGATAGATTTGTTGTTATAACAGGTTTCAATGGATTTGAAAACACTGTTACAACATAAAGTAAAATCAAAAGTAGAGAAAGAGGCAAAAACTACTTTAACACTAAATACCCATAAATAGTGTTCGTAGTAATCCCTTCTACTAGTATGGAAATTCCAAATCAGTAATAATAGATCACAAAAGCAAGGTGTCAAGGAGCTACTTTATCACCAAATCATTTGTCTGTTTGGAGTTCAACATTTGTAGTTCTTAAAATCATATTTGAGTGTGTGTTGGGTTTTGTTGTTCCAATTTGTTTTGGGAAAGAGTGTTATAACCTTAAAAGAAAAATATGACCCTCATAATAGGAAAACAATCATGGGTTCATTCAATGACCACATGGATTTTCCTATAGACTGGATTAGGAGGGGGTGGAAGAAATTTATCCACTCGCTAAATATTAATCAAATTCAACTTCCAAAAAGATTTTTTTCATTTTCCAAAATTGAGTTGGCTTAGCAAATATTGACATTTGACCAAGAGGGGCAGAGAAATACTAACAATGAAAGTAAAAAAGAACCAGAAATTATGATATAAAGATATCTAAAATGATATAGGTCGATGAGAAATTAACTTACTAGAAATAAAAGAACACAAAGCTTTGCAGCAATATATTTGTTCTGTGAAACTTATAAAATGAAAACCAAGGCACAGTGGGGAGAGAGAGATCTCTTGTACCACCACAAGTTCTCCTAATTCTCAGCTCAAAGAAGCCAAATAACAATAATATGTTTTCTGATGACTTCTATTATTACTCTATATTTACTGTACTTATTAAACATATTCTAGGACTTTCTTTTAAACTACGATAGCAAAAGAAAACACCAAGCATTATTTTTCTAACTGCCTTTCATTGGCAGATACTTAGAGGCCGGCAGGATCGCGTTCTCAGAGGTTTGACCCTCTCTGGTTTCCGTAGGAAGTAGCCAAGTTATTCCAGTCCCCTGCGTTCCCCCAGCACTACGGAAACGAAACTGGAACAGGCTCCGCCCGCCATCTGAAAGTGAGCCAATCAGAGCGCAGCCCGGGCGGATCGCGTGCTGGGTGTCATGGCGGCCTGCAGGCACTGCTGCTCATGCCTCCGGCTCCGGCCGCGGGGCGATAGTGCCCTCCGTCTGCCAGGGCGGGATCGGGCACTCACCCAGTTGCAGGTGCGAGCACTATGGAGTGGCGCCAGGTCCCGTACCGTGGCCGTGGACTTAGGCAACAGGTAAGGGAGGATGTGCGTTTTCTGCCCTTTCACAGGCATTCTGTCCTGTCAGCAATTAGTACATTCATCTCCCAGGATAGGAATCTGGCAACCCTAGCCTCTTTTCCCTCTGTTCATCCCAAACCTAAATGCCAGGTTCCCCTCTCCGGGTTTGGAGTCTGTCTCCCTGCACCCTCACTCTTCCCTCCCTGTCTCAGCCTCGGGTCCTTTGCTTCTTGGTCCTCCTCCTTACCCTGTTCCGGGCTTCCTTTCTTCAGTTGAGTCTGACCACCTGATTACATTCTCTTTAATTTCGGCGACTCCTGGACTCTGAAATATAAAACATTCCACCTCAGGATAATGAGCTGACATCATCCAATCCTAAAAACGCGGCCAGTATGACCCTAGTTATGAAGGGAAAGGAAACGTAAGTTTATTGAACACCAGTTATATGCTACACTCTTTTTAAACCTGTAGTAAAGGTACTATTACACCCATTTTTATAGTTAAGAAAACAGAGATTCAGAAATGCTCAACAAAGCTAGTACTATGAGACTAAGTGGATTTTGAACTTATATTTCTGTTACAAAGCCCCTACTTTTTCCAGGGATCCTTTTGCCAGAATTAACATCTAAAATCACTTTTTAAAAATTGTATTTGGCCCTGGCCAGTTTGGCTCAGTGGATAGAGCATGACATCTAAAATCACTTTTTAAAAATTGTATTTGAATAATTTTTGAAATAAATGAAACTGATGTTTATACATATATATACATGTATGCACATACATATGTATACACACACACACACATTTTTTACATGTACTTTAAAAATTTTTTTTGCCCTAATTCATATAAAAAGCCAGAACATATGACTTTGAATCCAGGCCTTCCTCCGTTACTTATTGAATGACTGATCTTGAACAAATTACTTCACCACTTATTTCACAAAACGAGGAGACTGGGCTAGATCAGGAGTCTGTAAACTTTTTCTGTAAGGAAACAGATAGTAATTATTTTAGACTTTGTGGGCTGCATACTGTCTGTCACATATTCGTGAGAGAGAGAAAGGGTATGTTTACAAACCCTTCAAAAATGTAAAAGCACATTCTTAGCTGAAAGACTATACAGAAACAGGCTATAGTTTGTTGACCTCTGCACTAGATGATCTATAAGGCTCTTCCACCTCTGGCATTCTTTGATCCTGATTTTTTGAGGGAGAGGATATCTCTTCCATTCTTCAAGGACTGAACATTCTTCTCTGAAGAAATGACCCTGAACAGTAGATTCAACAGACACCTGTTATGTGCTAAGCACTCAGACTCAAAGCAACAAAATCAGCCCCTGCCCTCCAAATTTTCCATAAATGATCATTTGTCAACCTGGAACTCTTTTGTAGCTAGTTCTTTTTAAACCTGTATCATGTGATGTATCAAATAGGTTCATAATTATCATTACTGCTGGGTGAGTACATTTTTTTAATCTTTGTTATAAGTTCGTTGTTTGCAGCATATAGTATGTGACTGCTATGTACCATGCACTTTATATAAATATATATATGTGTGTGTGTGTGTGTGTGTGTAATTTTTTAATATCCTCACCCAAGGTTATGTTTATTGATTTGAGAGAGAGAGAGAAACATTGTTCAGTTGCCTCTAGCACACCCCCCAACCAAGAATTGAACCTGCGAGTGTATGGGACAACGTTCCAACCAACTGAGCCACCTGGCCCAGGCCGTGAACTTTATATTTGTTATCATATGAATTTACAGTACCTGAGAAGGTTTTATATTATTGTATTTTTCACATGTATTTAATACTCATAGTAACCTTTGAGGCAACTGTTTAATTTTCATTTCAATAAGCTTTTTTGACCATCGACTGTATACAGCGCTCTTGTATGAGGAACTAAGATAAACACAGGTTTAGTCTTGGGAAAATCACTGTGGGAAAGGTATGAACAGGTGCTAAGGGAGCACAGGCATATTTATCACATACTAAAACTTGCCATTGAGGGTGAATCTTGAAGGGCAAGGAGAAAGCAGCAGGGAAAGTGGCAAGTGCATTTCAGAGGTGAGAAAGTGCATTTGAGTAGCTACAAATAACTTACTGTGGATGGAGCAAAAAGTGAAATGTGAGTTTAGCAAATGACATAGGCAGAGGCCAAACCATAAGGTGATTTGTTTGCTTGTTTAGTTTTTATTACTGAATTTTTCTGGAAGAGCCTTATAGATCTCTCTCGCTGTATTTCTACTTTCTGTGGCTCCTCTCTACTCCTCACTTCCTGAGCTACATTGCTACATCTTCCCACTCTTCTCTCCACCAAAAGGATTTCCTTGCTCATCTTACTCTTTTTATTATTTATTTCTTCAAAAGTATTTTTTGATTAGGTATTCACTCACATGGTTCAACATTTAAAAAGCTCAAAAATCTCCTTCCCATATAGTTCCCATATAGCCACCCAGGTCTAATTCACAGAAGCCACTGATGTGTTGTCCATCTTATATGTAGTATTTGGAGATGTTTTATACATAAAATACTAATTTCAGCAACAGGTTGGTGGGAGTCTGCTTGATGCTACAGTGTGACTGGTTCTGACCATCTGATTCACGTACTTCACCCTCACCTCCTTCCCCCCCGCTGCCCCCGCCCCGACTATTTCAACTCTAGCCTCATCTCTTCACCTCATCATTCATTCCATCTGTCAGGGGATACCATTTTACTGTGGGCTGTCATCATAACATCTGTGTTGAACAATAGAAACCCAACTGGAATTCCCCAGATATTTCTTGTGGTTAAAAAAAAATCCCTGTAAGATTTCAAGATCAGAGCTGATAGTACAATGTACATGCTTTATTCTGACTTTCAAATTTAACAAAATGAGTCTTAACTGAATAGATAAATATGCTTTTCATGAACTCAGGCTTCTGGCAAAAGAGTGGTTGGAAATATTAAGGATTGTCCCTTCATCCCTCTGACATGTGATGGGCAAAATAATCTTACTTGGGGTGGTGCACTGGTGTGTGTATGTGTGTGTGTGTGTGTATGTGTGTGTTTATTTTCAGCACTGGACTATGATAGAAGCCGAGCTCATGGGTCTGAACATCTTCCTAAGTATCTTCAGGAATCACTGAGTTGGTTGCCTTCACAATACTTTTATGAATTATGGGCTCTGACAAGTTTTGCTGGTCTCTTTCAAGCCCTCAGTGACCTCTTTTTGTACTCTGCAGAATCTGGGAAATAAGGCTGACATGCTGCCTATTTCATGTACAGACATGGGCAAAGTAGGTTTACAGTTGTGAGTACATGAGACAGTTTATTCTTACATTATTTATTAATTATTATATTATTTATTTGTATTACAACTGTAAACCTACTTTTATGCACCCCAGTATATAAGATAGCTTTATCAAGATATAATTCACATATCATACAATTTACCCATTTAGAATGTACAGTTCAGTGGTTTTTAATGTATTAATATAGATTTGTGACCATCACCATAATCAATTTAGAATACTTTCATTAACGAAAAAAAGAAATCTCTCATTCATTAGCAGTAATTTCCCATTTGTTCTCAGACCACACAGCCCTAGGCAATTAATAATCTACTTTCTGTCTCTATGAATTTGCCTATTCGGGGCATTTCCTATAAATGAAATCAAATGATATGTGGTCATTTGTGACTACCTTCTTTCACTTAGCATAATGTTTCCAAGGCTTATCCATATTGTAACATGTATTAGTACTTCATTTTTTAACGGCTGAATAATATTCCATTATATAGGTTATACCACATTTTGTTTATTCATTCATCAGTTGATAGACAATTGAGCTGTTTCCATTTTGAGGCTATTATGCATAATGCTGCTATGAATGTTCATATGCAAATGTTTGCATAGGTATATGTTTTCATTTCTCTTAGGTATATACCTAGGAGTAGAGTTGCTGGGTCATATGCTATGTCTGTGTTTAACTTTGTGAGGAATTGCCAGATTTATTCCCAAAGCAGATGCACCATTTTACATTTTCATCAGCAGTATATGAGGATTCCCAGTTTCTCCACACCCTCACCAACACATAATCCTAATAGATATGAAGTAATATATCATTGTGGTTTTGATTTGCATTTCCCTGGTGGCTAATGATTTTGAGCATATTGTCATGCACTTATTGGCCATTTGTAAATCTTTGGAGAGACATCTATTCACATCCTATGCCAGTTTTTAAAATTAGGTTGTCTTTTTATTGTTGAGTTGTGAGAATTCTTTACATATCCTAGATATAAGTCCCTTATCACATATATGATTTGCAGTTACTTTCCCTGTGGATTTTCTTTCAGTTTTTTTTTTAAATAGATTTTATTTTTTAGAGCAGTATTACTTTGAAAGCAAAATTGAGGGAAAGTACAGAAATTTCCCATTTCCACCCTGCCCTCCACATGCATAGTCTCCCCAGTTATCAACATCTCCCACCTTTCTTTTACTTTTTTGATGATATCCTATGAAGCATGAACGTTTTTAATTTTAATGTTCAGTTTATCTGTTTTTTTCTTTTGTTGCTTGTGCTTTTGATGTCATATAAAAGACTTACTCCTATTATTTTTCTTACAAATTTTATAGTTTTAGCTTTCATACTCAGGTTTTGAATTAGTTTTTATTCATCGTATGAGGAAAGGGTCCAACTTTATTAACATTTTTGCATATGGATATCCACTTGTCTAGCCCCATTGGTTGAAAAGACTATTCTTTCCCCCCATTGACTTGTCTTTGGCACCACTGTTAAATTTGAAGGTCTCTGTAAGCAATTTTTGGAGTATAAAGCAATGGGGAAATTTTAAAGGATTTTAAGTAGGGAAATGATCCAGACTGCTTTAGTCAACAGGCAAGGAATGAAAAGAGACTAAACTAAGATAGTAAATGGGAATTAGCATCTAAAAAGCGAGCTTCTATACCCCCCAAAATACTTCATTCAGATTACTCCTTTGCCTTGGTTTCTATATTTTTCCTTACACAGCTCTTAAATTCCCTTTGTACTTTTTTTTCCCCTTTGTACTTTTAATAATGATTATAAACTCCCTTTTTTGTTTGCTGGATGGGGTCATGTGGGGTTTGGTAACCTTTAGTTTGCTCATTAGAATCTTTGATTATGTTATACTAAGCTGTGAATTATACTGATGACTTAAGTGCTTTTGTATTGAATTTTTATTTTTTAAACAGAAAACTGGAAATATCTTCTGGAAAACTAGCCAGATTTGCAGATGGCTCTGCTGTAGTACAGGTAAAAAGTCCAGTTTTTTACATTTTCATCCTCATCCAAGGATATGTTTTTTA